AAGTTGAAAGCATATTGCGATATTGGATATAAAAACGACACATTTTTAAAATGTTACGGAATATCTAGAGACGAAATCTCTAAAGATTTTATTATTGTTACTAAATATGCAGCAATGGGTTCTTTGCGTAGTAACCTTCATTTAGTGGCACAAATATTGTGGGATAATAAGTTAAAATTGCTAATTAGTATTGCTTATGATCTTGAAACAATTCATTCACAAAATCTTATTCACCGAGATTTACATAGTGGCAATATACTACTAGAAAATTTACATAGTGCATATATTGCAGATTTAGGTCTTTCAATATCGACTGATGCAAATTCTGAAGGTGTTTTTGGGATTTTACCATACATTGCTCCTGAAGTTCTTTGTGGTTCACAATATTCCTTATTATCAGATATTTACTCATTTGGCATAATTATGTGGGAAGTATCTTCTGGAAAAGCTGTTCCTTTTAATAATGAATCTCGAGATCAATTTCAAATTCAAGTATGCAATGGCTTTCGACCATATATTATTGAAGGGACACCGCATTTTTATGTGGATCTTATGGAAAGATGTTGGGATGAAAATCCAAAGAATCGTCCACGTGCCGAAGAAATTGGCAGAACTTTTATAGAATGGCAAAATAATGTAAAAATTCTAGCTGAATTAACCAAGTTTGATAAAATATTTGAAAATAAGGAGAATTCATATGTGCAAACATACACAGAAACAATTTATACTAGTGAATTTATTCATTATACCAAATCGTGTTGCTACGGTAAATAATATTACATTATTTTTTTATTATTTTATTTAGAACATATTAAATTGACTCTGCTTATATATTAAAGATAGCAAACTACGCGATCTAATTATTAAACAATAATAAGTCCTTAGAGTATGTGATGCGGTCTCTATCGTCACAGATATAAGAATAAAGTTAGCGATGTTATTTTCGAAGGCAGGCAGGGGTTTAAATTACCGTATATACGTATTATTTAAACAAGGACCAAAGTCCTATTCTGCTTCTTTCAAATATAATTTCTATTTTAATAAATCATATACAGTGTTACCATATAATCCAACAATACGTGTTCTAGATCAAATATTTAACTCAAGAGTCTGAATCTTAAGTTTGATTCACTCGTTTTTCGGAATACAGTATTAATTTAAAATATTAATATCTTTTTTAAAAAATAAATCAAATAAGCTCCATCGATTATGCCCTAGGACCATTTATTGTACATGAATTCCTCGTTTATGGCTTATTTAATGGTACAAATAATTATCATCGTGCATTCGGAGCGTATACATTGTAAAAAGGTAGAACATAACTAGATCTATGAGATAATTAGTAACTTAGGGATGATATTTTAGGAATATCAGTAAAATATATACATGTAAAGAAAGAGAAACAGAAGAATAAACAAATAAACAAGGTTTTCTAGTTAAAACCACAAATATTTAATCACCTCACGCCAGATCTAAACGACCGGCGATCGCGACGTAGGCCGATTACACCTTAACAACAGTGTATTTAATAAATCAAATAAAATAATTGCAATAAAGAAAAAGGTTATTAATTTTAAAATATCATGTATAAAATAAAGGGAAAAAAGATCCTATTAGGATTTTTTAATAGAAATTTACTATTGTCACATTGCATTTAAGATTATCTCCTTTATGCTCTGAATTATCTTCTCACTAACATTTTCCTTTTACATTGAATCCAGGAATTCATCGATCTCCTTACCTTCTAATAACGAAGGTTCAGCTAAAAGCAGGGTTGCATTGACGCTGACGCTATACGTATTCCTTATCAGAATGATCCTCGATAGTGTGGAATAGATAAAGGAGATGTTTTTGGTAATGAACTGGTTGGAGAGTACGAAATATCTACTGTAAAAGGTGTTATTTTGCGTATTAGTAATAATTTGAGTTTGTTGTTAAAGTTCTTCTAAATCGTGTCGTAATTTTGCCACTTCGACTTTAAGCTCAGTATTCTCAGCCTCACGCTTGACATTTTCATCCATCATCTGTTTTAACTTCGCATTCTCTAACTTAACCTCGGTGTTCTCGGCCTCATTAAGAATTGATTTTTTACATTTAAGAATTCTTATTTCTATCAACCTTGATTGAACCGCAATGAGTCGCAATCATAATATTATTCTTAATTTAGGAAATAAATTTACATTATCACTCCCTCTTATATACAGTATACTTCGAATCACATAGAAACGAACCGGTTTCGAACTGGATTTTGGAGTATTATTGTAATCAATTTCTATAAATATTGTTAGGAGCAAGTTAAGTTTATATATATTAAATACTGTAAATATGGTTAATTATTTCGAAGGCGAATAGGGATTTATCGGGCACTATAATTGTGATGCTAAAATTTACATTGTTTAAAAATAGGGACCGAAAAAATCATTTCTAGCATTTTTTTCACCTTCAAAAATAATTATCCATATAAGAAACGGGCTATTTTTAATAAATATCCCAAATGTCTTAAATTACATAGTAATAAAATTTTTAATTTTTAATTAAATATTGAGTTGCATTTCTTGAATTATTACTATCGCTGGGGCGAAAATCGACGAGTCTGTGTTACAGGATCAAGACTCGAATAACTTAAGATAAGTTGAGGCATGTGTGATTGGTATGGTCAAGCATCCTTTTACAACTATTTTCTCTTTCCTGGCACCATCAAGCCTTTCTTTGGAACCTTTCCTAATTGCACATACTCAAAGATATAAGTTTATTAGCTTACTGATAAATAAATTAGGATCATCTTTCTCTGTTATTGTGAGAGACTATTAACTTCTTTCTAATAATTAAAGGTTTAGCAAGGTTGAGATATAATAATTTGGTTCAAGAATTTGTCTTTCACTACAAAAAAAAAACTCAAAATCATTCTTTAGCATATACAATCACTTGAACAATTACTTAAACTTTTCCTAAATTCTTATTATAAAATTTAAAAATTTTACTGGGTTTTATTTTTTCTATATTTCTATTTTTTTTAGCAATGTAGCAATATAGGAGTATATAGAAATAAAGTTTTAAAAGTTTTAAAATAGTAGTGTAACGCAACAATTTAAATAAAATTCTGTTAATATGTTATAATATAATATAACAATGCAAAAATTAGACAGTTACAATTAAAATAACTATTTTGCAACAATAATATAATATAATAATAGTGTGAAAATTATTTAAATAGTGGCAAAGCAGCTATAATATAATTTTTATTTTATTCAATGATATAAAAATAAGATAACGATAATATAGTATTGATATAATATCCATAAAGTAATAATGAAATACTATATAATGTAAGAGGGACCGAAAACTTAGATAGATTCAATATATGTCATCCTCGCCCAATTAGGGTTTAATTGGGGCTTGAGGGATTTTTGGGATTTTTGGGATTTCTTAACATGTATATAAAGAGAGAAATGTACTAGAGAAAAAGCAACAATAAAATACCGTCCTTTTATCCTAAACTCAGACTAATATCTAACACTTTCACTTACCTCGTGCCACATATCCGCGCCTCTTTCGACGTTACACGATCGGCGATCGCGATGTAGCGACAGACTCGCCGTTATCACCCCCCCGACAATAATAATAAATTGTAGTAAAATAGTGATAAACACTATCATATCTGTTTTATTACTATTTTTTAATTATTAAGTAATAATTAAATAAAAATAAATGGCAATGTTTATGAAAACAGATATCTTTAATAGATATATACATACTAGTCTTATAGAAAACTATAGTTACTATCTTAACACTAGTTGAAATCTGATTATTCAGCAGTATACCATTCTTCACATATAATAAAAAAAATTGTCAAACATTCATCAACAATTCAGCAATTATTGCCAAATTGGATATACTAAATTATTGCTTAATATTTAACAAATGCTTGACAAATTATTTATTGTATACCAAATAATTAAAAAGTGGTATACTGCCAAATAATCAGATTTTAACTAGTGTAATTATATTTATTAATTTGAATATTGTATATCAACTATCTCTATTATATTTTAAAAAAACTATATATCTTGGAAATTAAAGAAAAGTAAATACATTAAAATAACCTAAACCCTTTGGAATTAAAAGATTTAGAATTATTATTATATTGGTTTATATAATGACACAAATTTATTTTTATATTATTAACTTTTCTTTTTATATTTGAGAATTTTATATTACTAAAAATCAAAAATAAATTATAATAAAATAAATTATAACAAGCAATAAAAACTTTTATAACTTTATTTATTTATTATTATTTTTTTAAGGCTAAGTTGTGATACACGCATGGATTTTATTGATGTTTCAATTACAATCACAATTACCTATACATGAACAGTCTACTAACTATTGCTAATATAACTTTATTTATTTTTATTTGCTAATATAACATAAAATTTAAAATATATAACATATTTTATATATATATATATATTTTAATTCCGCAATCAGGTTGGTGTCGTTTATTTATTTAATCATAAAGAACCATTACAAGTTGAGAATCCATGTAAAGTATAAA